AATCAGTCGGGAGCATGTGTGCATCGATGCATAGTCAAGGTGCATCAATACATCAAGTGTAAAATTCAAATATTTTGACCGTTGGCTAACCAAGTGCATCGGTGCACAAATCTGCTTCGATGTTTTAAAATAGCCGGGGTAAATCGATGCCCGGCTTGTGCATCGGTTCATAAAATCAATTCGATGTTTTAATAATACATGGAGTACATCGATACATGGTATGTGCATCGGTACACAAAAGTTATTCGATGTTAAATTAAAACAAGGGTACATCAATGCATTGATTTAGGCATTGATACACTTACCTAAAAAAAATTATTTTAGGCTCATTTTTGGTTCAAAATACTTTGTGAAAATTATTTCAAAAATATATAAAACACAACTTTACACTTTAGTAAGGATTGAAATTGAACTTTGAAAAACTTGGAGTAATATTTTGATATTCGAATAATTATATCGAATATACTTGAAAAAATATTTTGTAAAATCTTAAAATTATTTTTCTTAATTTGGTATATCGAAACATCAAAATGTTTTCAACAGTCTGGCTCGTCTTCTTGGTAGGTAGACTCCTTCTAGCTATTTGATCTACGTGGAGCATCTTCGAAATCCTACCGATCCCAGAGAAAGGCATTGATTTGGCATTATTTTTCAAGAACCTTCTAAATGATCAGTTATTTAAGGATCAATACATTTGAATGATATGTCATGTTCATGCAAAAATGCAATAATAGCAGACAAAAGGAAACTAATGTTAGTAGAAACAAAACAAAAATAATCAAGTTAGTTGAAATGATTAGTCCGAAAATGTAGTCTTAGTAAAAATAAATAAATATGACTCAAAGTTGAGACTGAAAAAAGGCCTACAAAGAAAATTAATAATCCTTACCGCATGTGTTATAGTTCTCCTAGGCTATCCACATGGCTCTAGCGGGGTAGGCTTACTAAATTCTCTATATGAGACTAGGTTCTAGCATAGGTTCCCAAGCTATCTTTCCATATGCTAAGGTTTCCCCAGATTCTGGCCCATTATAAACTTGTGAATCGAGTTTAGCTCAGGGGATCACACCATTAAAAACGTATCTCAGAACTGATATCCGTATAGGCAACTTATGATGTTTTCCAGAGATACTTTGTCAGACCTACACAAGGAAGCCCAATGCTCATCGTGAGGTGTGACGTTTCTCCCTACTTATGTAAACCAGGTTTGAGCTCGGTTTTAGAGTTTGATATGCAACAATCTTAAACATTCACAAAAATGTAAGCATTAACCAGAGATAAATATGTTTTTTTTCTTTTTTGAAATAATATAATGAATAGTAAATTAAATAAGATCGAACTTGTAATTTCTAAATAGTAATACAGGGTAACCAACTCGTGGCTCGACTCTCAATTTGTTTAAAAACAAAAAAAGTCCCCAACAGAGTAGCTAAGATGTAGACACCATTTTTCGCCCGGGCGGAGAAACACCGATACCGACTCGGGGGTTTTCTCTTTGAAAATATTTTGAAAATGTGAGGAGTTGCCACCAATCATTTAAGGCGAGATTGGAATACCATAAAAATTGGGTGATGTTAATAAAACATTTTATTTTAATAAAATAATGAGTTTTGAGGTATATGAAAATCCAAAAATCAGGTTCGGGAGTCGGTTATGCATGGGGAATGATTAGCACCCCACAAGCGCCCAAATATTGGTACCTAGTTGATTACCCTATATTTAAGATCAGAAATTTTGAGTTCGATCTTTATTTAATTTAAAAAATTATTAAGGATACAGAGTTTGAAAAGGGTATACGTTTATTGAGACCGATAACATTCCCCCCGAGCGTAAATGGGGGAGATCAACTATTGTGTCTAATAACCGAACATTGCCTCGTTTTTAGAAAACATGATGCGGTTTTGAAAAGGATGTCGACCTATTTAGGGAATCACCAGTAGTCAACCCCTCAGCGTGATCGTGGGACATATACTATTAATTCCTTAAATAATTGAACAGTGCCTTAGAGTTAAAATAAAATAAAATCAGACAAAATTTTATTCATCATAATTAAACTAAAAGTAAATTAATGCTTTTTCTAGCTTAAAATATTAAATTATAAAAATTAAGGAACATAGGGGCTCAAGTCTAAAACGTAGACTAATATTAATCCTATTTCATTTTAATTAATTATTGAATCAAATAACTGAGATGGTCCCTCGAGCGTTTACGCGAGGGCCAACTCGAATTATCCCCTAAATTAAAATACTAGTTTGAAATCTATGCTAAAGTGGATGCTCTATTTAACCTATTTAATTATGTCAATATTAAAACACTAATTGAAGTTCGAGACTAAAAATGTCAAGATCTAAACATCGAGTTCTAAAAGATTTAAAAGTTTAAGGACCTAAATTGACAAATTCTAAAGTTATGGGCTAATTAAAAACTAATTATTATCTAAATTATAAAACCTAAAGTATTTTTAGAAAATATTAATTAGTAATGAATTTTAAGGGTCGAACAATCGATTCGAGTAATCGGGCATTTTATGCGAAAACTCGAATCAAATCATTCCCTAATTAAAACTAAGGTGAAATCCTAATTACTAAACTTGATTTAAATATTAATCTAAATTAAAATTACATCTAAAAAATAAAACTATAAAGCGAATTAAATAGTAATAAACTTAATTAAAATAAAAAATAAAAATAAAAATATTAAAAACAGTAAAAACAATATAAATAACAAATAAAAATAAAATAAGTACAAGGACCTAATTGCATAAAATCTAATTACATTGACTAAAATGTAAGAAAATAAAAGTTCGTAGTTAAATAGGAAATAAACAGTGACTAAATTCAAAAATTATTAAAATCAATATGCATATTCGAAATAAACAACAAAGTAATTGACTAGAGTGCAAAAGAAGCTAAAATAAGGGGAGCTTAAAGATAATTTTACCCTGATAGTAACCAAAACGTAAACACGCTGAAACTAGGAGGACCTAGACTGAGATTTGACCCTAAAACTAAGTGAACAAAATAGAAAACTACTAATAATAGGGGACCAAATACGCAATTTACCTCTTTTTCATAAAACCAAATACTTCCCCCATGTTTTACATAAACAACCAAGAAGCTTACCAAGCTTCAAAGCTCAAAATCGCCGGCCAACGTCCCGACTACCCCAGTGACACCCTCTCCGGTGGGTGTAGCTTAACCGACCGACAATAACCCATCCCCTATAGACCACATTGAACCACAAAAAAGAGGAAAATGGAGACAAAATAAAAATGAAAATGAGCCAAAATGTCACATTTTTTTTCATATTTCTTAGGGGAAAGCTCCCTCCTCTTTTACATTTTCTTCCTGGCTTTTATACCCTATTACGTATATATAAAATAAGAAAATAATTGTTGTGGGTGGAAGAAGGAAACATAGAATGGTGGAAGGTAGTGGAAGAAGAAAACATGGAATGGTGCAAGGTTGGTAGAGGCATGAAACATAGGATGGTGGGAGCTTGATGGAGGCATTGTAGTGGTAGGGTATAATAAAAAAATAAATGGTGCTTACAGGATTAATTAACCCTTGCTCTTTAAGGCTACTTATAGATCCATTTGTTATCAGAAAATTTACACCCTTTTTTCCACCCTTTACTTGTTCCTCCATGGTTGCTTCTCTACCCTCTCCACTGTGTGACCAGGGCCGGCCGTGAGCCTAGGCGGGGAGTACGACCGCCTAAGGCCTAGGTTTGGAAGGGGCTTATTCTTAAAAATAATAATAATTTAAAAAATATTTTTTACATAATTTAACGAATAATTATATAGTTAATCTAATAATAAAAATAGATCAATGTAAGCACCATTTTTCTTATTTTATTCTATATCCCATGACCCTACGTGAAGCACTTTCCCATTGCACATGCTACAACATCTCAGCTCCCACTTAAAGTCAAGTAGCCCATGCCTCCACTATTCCCATAATCCCACTCAAACTTTTACCTAAACCACTAAGGATTAAAAAACAAAAATAAATCTCGAAAAGTGGGGATTTTTTCACCAAATCAGAGAAAAATGGAATCATACTCAATAGACCTTATCATCTTACCTAAGGATAATAAATAAAAGGGGTGTAACAACGAGAGGTGGGAGGAGTTGAACGGGAAGAGAAAAAACAGATTGAACCAAGGGAAAAATCTTAGCAAAAATACATTGTAAACACTCATATTCAAGAAACAACAAACTCCAAAGGTTACATATTATTCTTTTTTTTTATTCTGTTCGAATGTATGTTTTTTTTTCTAATTGGTTCACTTCTAATTCATCGAGAGATTATGTTTTTTTAGTTTGAATACATAACATATTTTTCCTTGTCGAGCATAGTAACGATTCATACATATATTCGAAATAATAAATATAAAAAAATAAATAAGCCTAGAATACACCTGAGAAAAGAGGGGTCTCACCGGAGTTGGGGCCGGCGGTTAGGTCATAGGGAAGGAGGCCGAATACCTTAAACGTTCTAGGGTTCTTGCATGTTGGTTTTATACCTAGATCTAGGTTTTGAGAGGTAGGTCCTGTGGTTTTAGGGGTGAGTAGATGCTGCTCCGCCGTCGAGGGTTGCAGGAGTACGAGGTATTCGAAGGGCCGAGTCTTTTTTGGGTTAGATTCGAGGTTAGTTTTGGGGTTTTAGATGTAGTCATCAGCCTATTTATTTCTATTTTATTTTGAATTAAACTTCATGTTTTAGTTTATTTTATTCCAACCCTTATATCTTTAATATACTTTTTGATGTTTTTATTTTCGTGTTCATGTTATAACTATTAATATTTATGTCAACAATGTCAATTATCAAATTAGGAATTTGGGATTTTATCTTACTCCAATGGGTTACAATTCTAATTGAAGAATCCATGTGCAATTGTTCTTTTCTTATAGTTATTTATTAGAATTGGTTTGTGTTTGACTCTTTGATGAGATGTTGCCTAAAAAACATTTTTCTGAAAATGAAAAAAGAAAAAAAATGAAGCGAGAGGAGGAGTTAAAGAAGTCACAAAAAGGTGCTCTTGATAAATTTGTGTTTAAAAAGGCTGATTCTCAAGAAACTTTGAATCAATCAACTGGAAATTTGCATATTGGAAATTCTGAAAATGTGAATGATGAAGTGAATGATCCAATTGACTTTAATGATGTGTCAATTGATGAAAATGTTAAAAATTTAGGCATTGGTTAAAACACTTCATCATTTGAATATATATGATCCTATAAATTGGGAGAATCTTGACAATAATGCGAGGGATATATTAGTTGAAAAAAGGCCTATAAGAGAAATGGATCTTGAATTTCCTGTTGATAAATATTATAGACATTTTTCATATGAATGTTATTCTAAAAAGTTGAGCAATGGTGAGACTAGTGATAGAAAATGGTTAGTTTATTCCAAAAATGTTGACAAAGTATATTGTTTTTGTTGCAAGTTGTTCAAATCGATTAGTAATGTAAGTTTGTTAGCAAATGATGGCTTAAGTGATTGGAAACATATTAGCCAAAGGCTTAAACAATATGAAAATAGTGTTGAACATATGACTAATATGAATACTTGGAATGAATTGAGAGTAAGATTGGATAAAAATCAAACAATCGATAAAAATTTGCAAGAAGAGATTATGAAAGAGAAAGAGTGTTGGAGACAAGTGTTACAAAGAATATTCTCAGTTGTGAAATATCTTGCTAAACATTATCTTGCTAAACATAATCTTGCATTTCGAGGATCTAATGAAAAACTATATCAAGAGTCATTTAGAGTCAATTATTTTTTTGTTGTGGTAGATATTGCAATTACTTCTTTGAAGAATATATTTGAATAATTGAAGACATTTGAAAGTATTTTTGGATTTTTGTATGATTCAAATAAGTTAAAGTCATCAATGTCACAAGAAAGGTTGAATGGTTTAGCAACATTAGCTATTGAAAATGAGATGATACGAAACATTGATGTTGATGTTATTATCAATAACTTTGCATCTCAAATTACTAGAAGAAATCGTTTCTTATGAGAATTTGTGTATGTTGTTTTGTAGGTGAGAGGCGTCAATTTTCGATTGAGAGAAACGATTCTAAGAGATGATTGAAGACATAATAGGAGTAAATTGAGTGAAAAATTGAGATGTCTCTTTATATATTTGGTAAAATAATGTTGATTAATGTAATAGAATCTACTCATATAATTTTTAATGAAAAAATATATTTGGCATTTACCGAAATTTATTCTTGAATTTTAAGTTATTTTTTAAGGGCCCTTATCTCTTATTTTGCTTAGGGCCCTTAAAATGTCAGGACCGGCCTTGTGTGTGACCACATCTCCACCACCCACAATGACCAGAAACATTCAAATTCCATCGAAAACTCTGATGAAAGATATGAAGAAACACTCCTCAAGCTTCCCAAAGCCAAAGGCTGGATGACTGAGCATCTGGTTCATTACCAAGGGGTTTGGCTAGCCCCTAAACCAACCTTGAAGGGTTTAATGTGGATCCAAGACCAGTTTACGCCTCGACCCACCGATATTTTCTTAGCCACGTCCCCGAAAACCGGCACCACTTGGCTCAAGTTACAGATATTCGCCACAGTCAACCGCACCCACTACTGTTTCTCCGACCACCCTCTACACACCACTAGCCCTCACGATTGCGTCCCTTTCTTGGATACTTTCATAGACGGAAACCATCGGTCTTTACAAGACCTTGAACGGTTGCCTTCCCACGACTCCTCTCAACCCATGTCCCTTTCAGTTTGTTACCAAAGTCCATGACACATGATCAAAGTATCAGGGTGATTTACATCTACAGGGACCCCAAGGACGTGCTTGTTTCGAAATGACTATTTATGAACAAGCTAAGGCCTAAACAATTTCCACCCTTGTCATTGGAGGAAGCATTTGAGTTTTTTTGCCAAGGGATATCCGATTACGGACCCTATTAGGACCATGTTTAGGGTATTAGAAAGTAAGTTTGGAAACCCCAGAAAAGATATTGTTCTTGAAGTATGAAGATTTGAAGAATGAGTCATTTGCTGTTATTAAGAGATTAGGTGAAGTTATAGGATACCCTTTTTCATTGGAGGAAGAGAGCGAAGGAGTGGTTGAAGAAATATTGAAACTGTGCAGCTTTGAGAATTTGAGCAATTTGGAAGTGAACAAAACAAGTGTGCTAAAGTTTAACAGATATATTAGGTTTGATAATCGCCATTTAATCAGGAAGGGAGAAGTTGGTGATGGGAAGAATTATTTAACAGAGGAGATGATACAACGTTTGAATGCAATCATAGCTGACAAGTTACATGGTTCTGGGTTGGTATTGGGCAACTAGTTTCTGATTTCAAGGTCTAGGCTTTGTTGTCTTTGATTTGGTTTGTTTCATCTTCTATTCTCAGCTTTGTAGTGTCGTTTCTCATGTTATTTTTGTTCACTTCGATTGAAGAAACAAGTATTAAAGAAAATCTTTTATATTTGTCGCCACGGAAGCTGCTCTCAACCTAGCGTTGAGGGAAACCTACTATCCTACCTTCTCTTACCCCATTACATATGGGAATAGGGTCAGCTAATTTTTTTTATTTATATACGGATCATGCATGTGGTGAACAATGATAGTGAAGGTGTCTAGTTAACAATCTCTCTCCTTAACGTTACTAATCTATAAATATTTTTAAGGTGAATATATATATATAATAATCACATAAAAAAATTTATATAGTATAAATACAAATAAAATTTCAAAATGGATACAACTATTAAAATAGATAATTATTAAAAAGAAAATTTAGATTTTATGGTGGGCGCATACCCACTTTATATCTTTAGTGAATCTGTCACTATCTTTTAGTGAGATTGGAGAAAATATAAAAAATAATAGATTAAACTATTGAAATCCTCCATTTGACAAACCACAAAATTGTTTTATAATTTTTTATTATAAAAAATAAAAAAAATAGAAAATTGTTTGTGTTTTTTAAATGATGTTGTCGTTTTGTGGCCCGCGCATGGGAAATGTCAGTAAAACAAACCTAGGATAAATTAATTATCAAATCATTTTCTATTTAATTAGTATTATCTCAAAAGATTCAGTAATTAGATTTGGTTTGCAATAATTGCTAGAATTACCTCTTATTTAATTCCGTTGCTTACCAGATCTGATTTCAGCATTCCATTATAATTAGTCAATAGTCGAATAATTAAATTTAGATATTTAATATAGTTTAATTTTTACATTTAATAATCTGTGCACGATACGAGTAAAAGAATTAATTATTATATATAACTTAAATAAAATCATCTGTTGATAAACGTACGTAAGATGTAAATTCGATAAAACTCATCAAGTGATCACATTAATAAAAGACAATGACATTCTTATAAATCATCATATATTATGACTCACTTTATATAATATATTTATAAGTATTAGTTAATTAATTATAAACCAATTTTCTTATGAAAAATGTATGATATGTAACATTATTTTAATTGACCCATTTTAAAAAAATAATAAATCATCGCGACCATTTAATTAGTATATTAAAATATAACTCCAACAATAATTCAGAAAATAAAGTCCTTACGTAATATTCAAATACGAATAATGTCTCAAATACATCATAAATGTCTTTGAATGCAACGAAAGTATAAAAATTCCAGAAATCAATCAATACATGCGACGACGTAATTGTTTTTAAAATATACTTATTTTATGAGTATAGACCTGTGAATCAAAACGGTCAATATCTTGTAGATTAATGCAAACGGAGACCCTATGCATACAACAGCAGATCTAGAAATATTTTTGAAGGTGGATAAATATATATTAGTCAAACAAAATTTTTGTATGAAGTCGACACATAAAATTTAAGAATAGACAATCAATAAAATAAATCATTAATTGAAAGAAATTCGAATTTTAGAGTGGACACGTACCTACCTTAACAAAGATGTGCATCCGCCACTGTATACATATACTATACACTTATATTTACCGTTATTGTCTCGTATATTATATTTACCATTATCGTCCCGTAACAAGTACAACAGACAGGGCGAAGAAGAGGGAGGAGATAAGATACAGTGTAAATTAATGCTACACTACGAAATCAATACTGCAAATACATCATCAATGAGCTCGCGTGGAACGCTTCAACCAAAGAGCCGTCAGTTCTGACCAAGACACGTTTAACAAAAACATGAAACCAGCATAATAAGGCACAACATGACATGAGACATTTAAACAATTGTAACGTAATTGACATGACATGTTTCATACACATTTGTGTCGTGTTTATGTTCTACACAGCTAATGCGAAACAAAACACATGACATGACATGTATACATGGATTGCTATTGCTTCATTCCTCATTTTTCTGATCTGAAAAGGAAAGATTGAAGACATAACCTTGCACTGGCTGCAGCTGTCATGGATTCTTCATCTTGCTTCTCTTTTGTAGCAGCAAGTGCAACAAGATAAGCTTGCTTTGCTTCTTCCATTTTCAGCATCTCCTTGTCATCAAGATCATCCTGTTTATACCAAAATCCGATTCCTCGTTACTAGATGAACAATGAATAAATCAAGTTATAGTAGTTTGATATAGGCATAGGATAGGGAACATACTATATAAGGGAGAGGATCCAAATGGTATGGTTCTAGCTCATAATCATCAGCATCTGTAGTGGGATTATTCTTTGTCAAACCATTTATAAACGTCATAAACGTTGAAAATTCTCCTCGCATAGAGTCAATATTATTCTGCAGCTTCTCCACCTGTTGCTTCGATGTCATTGCTTCCCACCGCGCCTTTTCCAGGGCAGCCTGCTTGTCTGCAAGTTTAATCTGAGCAAAACCATAATTATCAATACTGATATGGGAACAAGAGGCAGTTCACAATGAATATGTTTAATGTACACATATGAGTAATCAACTGACTCGTTGATAGACGAAACTACAAAACGGAAATTGAAAAATGAGAACCAGATATGCTGCAACCTTTCATAATGGATGATACTGGTATTTCAAAATCAGTGGATAAATACTCACATTAGATAACCAATTTAAAAGAAAATTACAAAAATCTGCAACATCTTCCACCAATACAAGTATTTTGAGTAGTTGACACTGATTCTATTTATTTCAATTATGAAATGATTCCTCATCGGAACTTTATAAGCTCCAAATACACAAACAGGTCTCACTCTTCCCATCAAAGTATCAAGGATAAATATTGAAAAGGTAATAACAATGAATATTAGATGAATCTTTTTAAAGTAATATTTACAGCAAAAAAGACATGACATATGTATACCTTGGCATCAGAGAGTTGCAGCTGAATAGATTTGATTAGAGAGTCCTTCTCCACGGCATGTCGCTTCAGTCTATCAAGTTCCGTGTGAACATCATTGATCTCATTCTTTGAAATCTCTGCTGATTTCAAAAGCTCATCCTTCTCGAACAACTTTCGTTGCAGATCCTCCAGTTGTTCCCTCAACGAAATTAACTCTTCATTTACTTTTTCTGTAGCCAAAGCCTCTGAAGAAACTATTGAGTAGTTGTCACCATCCTGATTATTATTACCACTCTTGTCCGCTTGATCTTTTTTCTTTCTCATCCTCCCTTTTATGTCGCTAACCTTTGTGAATGAAAGAACAAAATTATAGAACATTAAAATAAAATACGAGAAAAAAATTGATAGTAAAAACAAGTGCACATAAAGATCACGTTAACCAAACCTATTGGCTACAGTATTTTACACAATCCTACTATGAACTTACTTCACAAATTTTCCCAACAAAACACAAATGTCAAATATCCTACCACATCACGAGTGTAACGAGACATTATGTTAATACTGAAAACAACAATTCCAATTGGCTATGCCTAACTAAGGTTTATGAAACACTAATGCAGTAAAACATACAAATGGATTCAATCTGTGAACACAAAGAAACATAAACAATCAGTAAATCATAAAACTGGCAAACTCTAATTCATTAACAGTATAAGCCTATAAGGAAAGGTTAGGCAAGTAATACACAATTCCACAGATTATGTATTATATAAAATATATCTATTCTCACTTTTCGAGATAGGGATTCCCTGGAAGGGGTTTTGGTGTATATCATCGAACCACGCCTTGTAAATGAATTGTTTGCTTTCTGCTCCTGATCAAACAAATGGTTAACAAATAATTAAATTTAAAAAGAAACCCATTTTCTCATTTTTAATTAACGGAAGGGTAAACAAAATAATTCTTCTTTTCTCGCCAGATTCCTCATGTTCATTAATTTCAAAATTAAGGCAAAAAAAAGTGAAGAGAGGGGAAGATTACAATGAGGGACTGAACGAGAGGGATCATCTCGACGAGATCGTTGTAAAGGACGCGATCCAAATTGGCATTAGAGTAAGTGAGTGAGGACTGAGCTCGGGACGAGTTGCCGCCGTTCATGATGTTGTGATTATCGCCGGAAAGCCAGGATTTGGGGTCCCCGAAACTCGAATTCTCTTGTAAATCCACGAAGCGTTGCGGCTCAAACATTTTCTTCTTCCTTCCAAAAGGAAAAACAAAGAGAAAATTCAAATTTGAGAAAATGAGTGAAGAAGAGAAGTTAAAGATGACTCTGCTTTCAAAAAAAAAAAATCGATTTTGCCCGTTTCCTCTTATTGACAACGGAACTTTCTGCTATTTGGAAGGTGGTTTACGAGATTACAAAAGTACCCTTTATGCTACTTGTCCTTGTGTGGCCCTTGCATATATATTTTTTAATTCTAGATTGATCCCTTTTCAGTCCAAATGGGCACTTTTTACTCTAATCATCAATATTTTTAAAATCGGACCAGAAATTGAACCGATAAAGATACTTGTTCATTGATTTAATCGGGTTCAACTGTAGTTAAATCGGATTTTAAATAAAATAAATTTTTTTAATTTACATAATATTCAAAGCAATATTAATATATATATATAACACTTTTTTTAAGTTTACAATATTAAAAAGTATAAAAATATTACAAGTCATAACATATATAAATTAAAAACCATAAAATCAAGTTAAACAAAATGATTCAAATCAACTACAACATAATATTTAAGGTAAAACATATTAAATAATAAATATAATTATATAACTATAATCAAAAAAAATTGGGGCTTAAAAAAATTATAACAAATGATGTCATTTGGTTTAATTTTTTTAAAAAAAAATAATCTCACATGGCTAAAAAACATAGAAGAGCATCCCAAAAGTTTAAAGAGTAAAAATATGAGAACAAAACAATCCCACATGACTAAGAAACATAGAAGAGCATTCTAACTTACTTCTATAAATAATAGAGGTAATTTGACATTCAAAATCATGAAGCCTTTTGGTGAGCCAGAGCAAACTATTCTTTCGCTTCAATTGAGCTCAAATTTTAGGCTTCAATCGAACTTTTAAATTTTTTTTGAGTTCGAGTCTTTTCAAGTTCAAGTTCAAGTTTTAATATTATATTTTGAGTTCGAGTTGAACTTGATAATTTTTAGCTCATGAGTTTTTTAGTCGAGTTGAGCTTAACAATACTCGAATTTGACTTGGCTCGTTGAACAAACGATGTCGTTTGGTTTATTTTTTTAAAAAAAAAGAAAAAAAGTGAACCGGCGGTTCAAATCGGTTTTGCCGGTTTTCAGCCGGTTCATCCTGATTTTACCGATTTTCAGTCGATTCTACCGGTTTTCAACCGATTAATTGCCAGACCGGTTTTGTGAGGTAACCGGACCAGACAGGCCACCGATTCACGGTTCAACCAGTTGAACCGACCGATCCGGTCCGATTTTGATAACCATGCTAATCAGTCATTAAGATGGATTTTAATTTTATTATAATTCTAAATATTAAAAATTATTTGATAATTGAGTTTGTTTAAGTAAAAAAATTACGGAGTAACATATTCTTGATGATAGGTTTGATGTTTTTATAAATATAGAATAAATTTTAATTTTTAAAATAATGTGATAATTAATTTAGAGAAATGTATTTTTTTTGTGATCTATGCAACTACTGAGATTTATGTTGTTACAATAATTTTGTAGAGATGTTGAGTGGGTGTTTTAAGATACATTAAATTTTGAAATATATATCTAAGGATAATAATTTGACTCGAATTTGATGAGTTTTGATATGAGTTGATAGCGTCGGTGTAGCCACTCATTTTTGTCCGGGGTTTTATTTAGTATATATATATATAGTTTTTTATAAAATTTTGAAAAACATATATATAATATATAGTTTTTGAAAATATTTATATTATAGCTTTTTTAAAAATATATTAAACCCATGACCTTTAACGGTACTGATGGAAGCCGTGAAGACGCCTACCCCAGCTACAAACTAACAACCAAAAGTAAACTCAACCGACTCTCTTTTCCCTTTTTTTAGTTTCGAAATAACACAAGCACACAAAAAAACTGGAAAACAAAAAGAAACCGAAGAAGAATACTTCGAAAATACTTTTATATCTATTGCTTTCTCTGTTTTTCTGCTGCTTTGTATTGCTTTGTATTTTCCTTTTGAAAATGGGTAAGAACCCCTTACATTGATTGCTTGATTTGTTTTTACAAATCGCCAGAGACCCTCACTGTTACATCCCTTTGGGTTTTATAGAAACCTCTTTTTTATTTACAATCCAATCAAAAAACAAAATAAGATTCTTATTCTTCTGTTTTTCTTTGTCTGCTTTTGTTGACGTGGCCACTGGTTTGTTATTGGTTGCTAACGTGGATTTGGTGAGCTTGATTGGGACGTTAGAGGCTTTGTCGAGTTTGTTACTTGAAACATTGAAGAGGGCTAGTTGTGCGTATGCATGGAACCTGTTAGAAGGGAATCCAGGAGGTGGCAGTGGCTGATTGAGTTTGAGAGTTGAAATGTATTGGGTTTAGTTTAGAATGGGTATGAGAATTTAATTTCGGTTGTATTTTATATAATGGCCTGTAAATTAATATTTGAATCTGGTACTTAATTTGGGTATACTATGTTTCAGCTTTAAAATTCAATCATAAAAATGTATGGTTACCGAACCCAAATAAATGTTCGACATTTCTCAAAGCCTAAAACTCATTTTTCCCAAGTGAGCCACTCACACTAATTTAACGAACATGTGTGAACGTCTTTAAATTGACACTCGATCGCCTCCAATGGATTTAAATCGTCTGGACAAAATTAGGGTATTACAATACTATTGAACTTACAAAGCGTAACGTAAGGTTTATTTTTTATGTGTAGATGCTTCGGTTTTATGATCGAATCTAGATTGAATTATCATCAAAAGTGTTTAAATATTGTTTATTTAGAGTACAATATATTATATTCTCTAGTCACAATTCTAAACCGATTATAATTCATGGTTGTAATTGGATTTTACTCATAGGAAATGAACATTCGATCAAGTCGAGTTGTTTGAGGTTTTGTTTAAATTGGCTGAATTTCTCAAATAATACACTGGAAAAAATTATTTGCTCGAATAATGCACTCGACAGATTATTTCGTGAAATAGGGTGAATGCTACAGTGAACCCCAAAGACGCATTGAAGTCCAAGCATCTTACCCTTCCCGACCAGCCAGCCACCGATGACGTTGAAGCCCCTCGAAGATGCATGGCAATCCATACGTCTTTCCCTTGGCATGCGTTTTCCTCATGTGCATGGGCCATGCACGATCGATGAAAACCCTCGAAGTCACATCCCCCTCCATGCGTCTTCCCCATCCCATGCATGTGCCCCCATTGGCGGAGAGAACACCTCGAAGACACATGGCTTTCCATACGTCTTTCCCATCCTCTTCCCCCTCGCTGAACGCTTGTGGCCCCCTACATGGTACACCCATGAAGCCTCTGCATGCATGTCAGCAATAATGGTGTGTAATACCACGTGAATCTGTATGCATGACATAAATAATGTTGCAACTATTGCGGCAATAATAGAGCAATAATGGTGGGAATAGGGAGGGACGGTTATGGGTTGTGGTTGGAGCATTGGGGATGGGTTTTAAATATAAATATGAGGTGTAGGGAGGGAGAGAGGGTTACACCGGGAGTGAAAAAAGCATAGGAGAAGAAAGAAGAGAAATGAGGAAGAATGAAGAGAAAAGAGAAAGAAAGAAGAAGAAGAGAATCTCGATTCATGCTACATTATTCGACAAATTTAACCCGGTTAGTTAGTTAGTTAATTTTTTTTAAAAAATCTATATTATTTATAAAATAATATGAATAATATAGACGATAAATTTAAATTTGTTATGTTTGTTAATTTCGTTTCAATTAGTTGTTTGTGTTTCTTATGTTTGTTGAATACTTAGATGTAGTTAGTAGTATTTTTTTATTTAGTATTTCCCTTCAAGCAGCAACAACTTTATGTGTTATTAAATTATTAAAGTTATTAAATTTTGTTGTACATATTTATCTCGTTGAAATGGCAGAATAAAATACTACTTCATCTTGACGTTCAACATATTTATAGCAATTTGGGAGCGATGGTGTTATTATTATTTAATAAAACATTATATTTTTTATTAAACATTATCAATATTATTAATGCTTATTTTATGATTAATTGATATTAATTTCATGAATATTATAAATGTAGGAAGACAAGCACTGAGTCCTCTGTCATCATATTAGTATTCCTGCTAAGCCACACCCTTTGATTGAAGATAACTTGGAAGATGCTGGATTTTATTATGTTACATATTTACGGGAGTATAAGTTGGTCCAAGGTTTGATAAGTGCATTGATTGAACGTTGGAGGCCGGAAACACATACATTTCATTTGACGTGCGGAGAATGCACGATAACCCTAGAAGATGTGGCCTTACAACTCAAGGTTCTAACAAATGGGATTTCGGTGGTGATGAAAAATGATTATAAAAATGTAGTAACACTTTGCAATGAGTTTCTTGAGCAGAAGGCAGTAAACCCAGATTTAAAAGGGTGGGGTTTGAGGTTATCATGGTTGGAGGATCAATTTCAACTCCAAGAAAATAGTATCGAAGAAGAAATTGTATATGCAACTCAAGCATATATCTTACAGTTGATTAGGGGAGTTTTGATGCCGGATAAATATGATGGTCTGGTTCATACGTAGTATCTCACGTTTTTGAGAAATTTTGAGAATACGCGTCAGTACAGTTGGGGATCTGCGATATTGGCGTTCTTGTACCGTGAGATGTGCAAGGCGTCAGTAATCATCAAGAATACTAATACCGTGAAAATCGGTGGATGTTTGATGTTGTTATAATCTTGGGCTTGACACAGACTTCCATTTTTAACACTGATTAGTCGAACAACGATTGATTTTCCTCTTGCCATGAGGTAAAATTTCTTTTTTGTATTTTAATTTAAATTCTTAATTAGAATTTATTTAGTATGATTAAAAATAAGTGACGGATATTTTTTTGATTTACAGACGGAATATAAAATAGAAAGGATGGGGCTATTTAACAATAATATCAAAGAATTTCGGTTAAAGATCGACATTTATAACAAAAAGAAGGTAAATTTTAGAATATGTAATATAATTATACTATTTAAATTAATTTTAAATTAATTTATTTAACTTTATTTAGTTATTTATATTTATTTCTTTATTTATAATTTTACGTAATGAATTAATTTTCATAAATGTTAATTTTACAGTTTATTTGGATGTCGTACCTGGAGCAAGAAGTTTTAGCGTGTGTGTCGCCACAAGTTTTGTTGGGGTTATGAAACGTGGGTTGTTGTTACACCATTGATTCATTTTGCATTTGTTGAGATATTGTTTGCGGATTGAGTGTTGAGGCAGTTCAAGTGCTACCAACCTATTCCGCCTATTCCATGGGATCATTGCCCCTTGAAAATATTAGATGGACGGGGTAAGCACAACGTGAATTGGGTTGCAAAGCATGCAAACTACAATGATGATTAGAACAACATAGCTTCATCCGTGCCACCTATTACTCCAATGGAAGATGATGAGTTTAATTTTAAAACTTCGGCTTACCTTCAGTATTATTTTGAGCATGGAAAGTCGTACCTAACGACGTTGGGAGAAAGGCAAGAGTTTGAAAAATATAAGAGAAAATTTGGTAGAGCCGAGAAATTTATACGGAGTGAAAGTGAGAGCTCATCTCAACAACATGAAGCGGAAACAACATATCCGTTTTATGATTCTTCTGTTCCGGCATACATACCGGAGTTGATGCCTCCTCATATACCCAACTACTATCCCATGTTTGAATCAACATATGACTTTGACCAAATGACATATATGATGTCAAATACAACTATTTGTCAGTCTACGTTTCCAGGAGGGATGAAAGAGGAAACTGGTGGAATGAGAGAACATAGTGGTGGACATATATTTACAAGAGCAGTTGATATGCCCCCAATGAATGAGGAGGATGAGTATCATACTCCTAAGCAACCGCAACGACCACAACGCATTAGACGTCCACCCCGACATTATCATTCGACAATACCCCGACATCAACAACGATTATAAACTCAATTGTTATTTGTTTAAAAAGTAATAGTATGAAAAATGTTATTATTATATGTTACAGTTAAATATTTAAATTATACTAGTATTTTATTTTGTAAACATGAGTAAATATTTTTTTTGAATTTTTTTACCTTAACTTAAATTCGAAGATTTAATAATTATCAGTTATAAATTTTTTACCTTACCAGATTGATTAAATTTGAATATTTATAAATAACAATAAAATATAATAACAATCATAAACATGAGTAAATATATTGTTTTTTGAAAATTTTTACCTTAACTTAAATTCGAATATTTAATAATTATTAGTTATAATTTGTTTACCTTAACAAATTGATTAAATTCGAAGACTTATAAATAACAATAACAATAAAATCCTCATCTATATATTTCAATATACAATATACTTTATTATTATAAATAGATTTAATAATTATAATAAAAAACATAAATTCGAAGATTTAATAATTATTAGTTATAAAACATAAATTTGACTTAAAATCAAAGATTTAATAATTTAATATAAAAATATTAAAAAATAAAGTTAATTATTTTGAATACATTATTATAAAATTAAGTTAATTATTATAAAATCAAATATATACACAAATTATTATGCATAAATTATTATAAAATTAAGTTAATTATTATAAAAAATTAAATATATACATACATAGAAATACATATACGATTACTACTGATAAGGCCTATATCTTGGTTGATTAGGATATTTCTTTTTTGAATGACCTTCACCCCTACATAATCTCTTTTGTTGACCTCTCTCTCTAGCATGAAAATCCATATTGGTATGAATACGACTGGACTCAGGTCGACCCTTTGAACTTCTACGAAGCATTGGATTTGGCAGTCATTCGTCATGATCTTTTTTCGGCCAATATGATTAATTTGGGATCTATCTGAACGCATAGTTGTAGACATTTAATATCCTATGTAGGTTAAAGCACTCATCAACATAAATGTATGTGTTTACACCATCATACATACATGCATCGAGTGCATGAGCACATGGATATCTTCATACTTGAAAGTGACCACAATCACACCATTTGAGTCATAAATCAAATCTAAATGTTTGGTCTTCTCCTCATTTGTTGCGGCGTATGCATAACACAACAAAAGTATGACCACTTCAGTCAAAATTATGAACAAGCATTGAGGTTTCCAATCGCTCGTTTGCTTCAATTGCTTCCACCACTATAGGAGCCCAAGTTTGACCTCTATTTATGAGACACTCAATCTCCTTGCCTTTATCGGACCAAACCTTAGCCAACATAAAGTATGTCTCCTTCACTACACTCGCTATTGGGAGATGGCGTGTACCTTTTAGTACTAAATTAATGGCCTCAACAAGGTTTGTGGTCATGTGTCCGTATCGTCGTTCATCGTATGCTTGCGACCATTTTTCTCGCTGTATTTTCGAAGCCCATTTTCATACACGCTGATCATCATAAAATACCTTCAAATTCTCCAATCTCTTGTAAAAATTTGGTCGTCGTAGTTCGTATCCTGTTTCATAATATATATATATTGTGTTAAAGCTCAATTAAAAAACCACATAAATTAATACACAAATGTTGAAAATAAAACTTACCCATGCTTACTATCTCACTACGAATGCGGGCGTTATGAAACTGATCGATATTATTCTTACCAATATGGAGGATACAAAATGTGGGATATGCATACGGAGGTATCTAATGACTTCCTGGTCGTTCAATTGCCGCCAAAATGCATGTTCCTCAATTGGATATCAAGCAAACCCCATCTTCTCGAACGACATATTTACGTAGATTGGTCAAAAAGAAATCTCATGCCTCTGTTGTCTCTCCTTCAACAATGGCAAATGCAATTGGGAAGATATTTCGTTCATCATCTTGCGCAACTGCTATCAACAATACATGTTTATATTGACCATACAACCACATACCATCTACTTAGACCATACATTTGCAAAATGGAAATCCTTCTATGCATGACTTGAATGCCCAAAAGAGTCTATGAAATATCCTCTTCCCTGGAACAAGTTGACATTCTTCGTCATATGCAGGCATAGTTTGAGACTTCACTATGGTTCCCGGGATGAATCGCTTCATTGCTTGTAACAAATGTGGTAGCTCATTGTATGATATGGTTCACTATGCTCCAAGAATCCCAAACCTTGTCATATTTTACTTGGTATCCAAATTGGCTTCAAATAGATGCAGACTGAACAAGGGATTCTTGGATTATTGTCAACCAACAGCTTCACTTAAACACATATTACATCAGAGTTCAATAGTCGGTGGTCTTGTTCGATTGAGTTCCGCAAACATGTGTGATGATCATTGTATCTTGTGATGACCCAAACATCGTGCCTTTGAATTTTGGACACTCTGATCTTCCATTTGCACTCTGGGCCATATTTAACACACTTCACATATATGGCTTTTTGGTTGGACTCTGTAATATGAGCATCAATATGACATTTGATGCAATACTCTTTAATCGCCAGATTAGCTTCATATTTTCCTCTCAATTG